TCTGTGTTTAAAATTAACCCAGGAGTACGTTGTCTCTGAAAAACTGCACATCAGATTGCCTCACAGATCACAGCTGAGGCAGGTATCCTCAAGTGAGCCCTCACAGGCTGCTTGGGGAGAAGGGAAGGAGTTACTGCACTGGGAGTGGGAGCTGTTCTCTCTTAATACACATGGGTGGATACATTTTTATTCCATCCAACCCCATTTCCAGTCTGCTCTGATGGAGACAAGTGACAACAGCGAACCCTTCATGGGCTGTTTATGATCACACACACACACGCACACGCGCACACACGCCAGGATCAATGCATCCCCCTCTAGGGAAAGCAGTTGTATGAATGCTGCCCCACCCAGGAAAGCTGCAAGTTTGAGCAGCTCTGCCTCTGGAACCAAAGGCCTTTGTATGAGGAATTATCAGGCACTAAGCAGAGGCAATTCCAAACCGGTCCCACCAGTGTGGCAAGGAGACTGATTCAGACTCCTCAGAGGCTTCTCCAAGTACAACAGACACAAGCAGCCCAGTTTCCTTTAAGGAGTCACAGGAAAGGTCAACCTAGTCAAGCGGCAGGGAAAGACATCACTGGGAACCTTTAGTCATGTGGACATGGGGCCATATCGTACTGGGGAAAATCCACAATTGAGGTGTAAAAGTTGCTGGGCACAAAAGACAAGCAGAGAAGGCTTCCCAGGAGAAGGGACATTTAAGTTGTGGTGAGAAGGAGAATTTGCCAGAAGGATGGTTTAAGAAGCTGAACCTTTAAAAAAATGTCTTAAATATCGTATAATTCCACTTAGGACATCATGTTAAAACTTAATAGGGAATATTTATTAGGACAGAAAAGAAACTCTAAAATATTTGAGTATATCTCATAGAAATTAAGAAGACTTTTTTTTTTTTTTTTTTTTTTTGAGACGGAGTTTCGCTCTTGTTACCCAGGCTGGAGTGCAATGGTGCGATCTCGGCTCACCGCAACCTCCGCCTCCTGGGCTCAGGCAATTCTCCTGCCTCAGCCTCCTAAGTAGCTGGGATTACAGGCACGCGCCACCACGCCCAACTAGTTTTTTGTATTTTTAGTAGAGACGGGGTTTCACCATGTTGACCAGGATGGTCTTGATCTCTCGACCTCGTGATCCACCCGCCTCGGCCTCCCAAAGTGCTGGGATTACAGGCTTGAGCCACCGCGCCCGGCCTAAGAAGACATTTTTAAAGAAAATTGTGATAACAGTTCCCACCAATATTGCAATACCCTGTTTATAACTGACTGAATTAAAATTATTTGGAAATTATAAAACATCTAAAACAGTGGCTTCTCTACCTTGAAAGAAAAAGTACCAAAAGAAAGATATTGTACAAATATAGCCTAGTTTACGTATAAAGATTTCAAGCATTCAAATAATACTAATTTCTTTCATTTATTAACAAGCTTATTTACAGTTATTGGGTAAGTGAGACTACAGGAATAAATGATTCAAAAGAAATGCTTAAGGGCCAGGCGTGGTGGCTCATGCCTATAGTCGCAGCATGTTGGGAGGCCGAAGTGGGCAGATCACAAGGTTAGGAGTTCTAGACCAGCCTGGCCAATATGGTGAAACCCTGTCTCTACTAAAAATACAAAAATTAGCCAAGTGTTGTGGTGTGTGCCTATAGTCCCAGCTACTTGGGAGGCTGAGGCAGGAGAATCGCTTGAACCTGGGAGGCAGAGGTTGCAGTGAGCTGAGATCGTACCACTGCACTCCAGCATGGGTGACAGAGCAAGACTCCATCTCAGAAAAAAAAAAAAAAACTTAATAATTAAAAATTGATTGCACTACCATTGGACCCAGCAATTTCACTCCTATATGTATATCTAACAGAAATAAAAACATCCCTTTGCAAAAACATGGACACAGATGTTCATAGCAGCATGATTTATACTAATTATTTACAATAATTATTGTAAATAAAGACGGGAAACAGTCTGCATGTCCATCAACTGATGAATAGATAAATATGTCATATCCATACAATGGGATATTTGGCAATCGAAAGAAGTACTGATATATGCTACAAAATGCATGAACCTTGAGAACATTACAATATTATGAAAAAAGCCAGTCACAAAAGACCACATACTGTATAATTTCATTTATATGAAAAGTCCAGAAGAGACAAATTTATAGAGACAGAAAGTAGACTCATGTTTGCCCAGATCTAGAGGAACGGAGCTGGGCAGTTACTGTTAATGGCTATGGGGGTTCTTTGCGGGGTGATGAAAATGGTCTAACCTTAACGTGGGATGATCACACAACTCTGAGAATGTACTAGAACCACTGAATTGAACCCATAAATGGATGTTTTTTATTGTGTGTGAGTTAGATCTCAAAGCTGTTTAAAGGCAAGTTGATTGCATTAACTTTCATGGAACTATGAAATACAGTCGTCTGCTCTCTGAAGAAATGCTGCCATCAAAAAAAAAAAAAAAAAAGGCAAAGTACTTTCACTGAACAGATTAGTTTTATATTTTTGTCCCCCAGAAAAAAGAATTCAGTTACCACAGCACGGATGCCATTTCCAGTGACAAAATGTCAGGCCTAACGTTACGGGACTTCAAAGCATGCCACAAGATCTCTAATGACCTCCAGTGGTCATGACTGACATTGCCGGGTTTAGGATACACAGCCTACAACACGATGCACAAAGTGGTTATAAATGTGAAGTCTGGTCTGTGATTTTCTTATCTTGAAAGCTGCAAAGTTGGAGCAAAAGGAAACCTCACCAATGACTATCATAAAATGTCCCTTCTCCCTGATTTTTCAACATTGACTGAAGGTCCGGTTTATCTGTGCCCTGTCTTTGTAGCCTCTTTCAACAGAGCCAGTAAGATGTCTGTCTCCTTCCAGTGACTCCATCGGGAGAGCCCGTTAACAATCTGCTTTGCTATGTGCACTTGGCTCTTGAAAAACAACAACAACAAAAGTTTTGCTTTGTACCCACAGATGCAGGAGTAGCTGACAGGTGGAGAGAAGAGAAAAAAAATGGCTGATCAAAAAGGACTGGAAGGAAAATGTGTAAGAAAGAACAAGAAGCAAGTATTGCAAGATAAAATAAGCCAATTCGATCAGGCACAAGTCTCAGATACTTTCGGTAGCTATCTAAGACATCCAAAGGTTCGCCTCTCCTGTAACCTCACCACCAAGTTCTAGTAAAAGCACCTAACACCAAATGATGCCAAACCTAGAGTTTTTCTAAACAAACATTAGTAAATAAGCCCAAACAACTTCATACAGTCTCCTCTGTCGGCATGATGAAGTCCCAGCTCTCTCTCCTCTGGGTAAAAGATTTATTCAGTTGAGAAAGGACGATGTTTCAGAAATAGTATTCTGTTATTATCACCCTCGTTGTTGGTCTCAGGCTACCAGAAATCCTCCAGACTAACATAGGCTATTTATTTAGCATTGAAGGCTGGAAAACCATCCTGCCATGTACCCGCTACCAGCCTGGCTGGATTCTTCAACCACACCCAGGCAAGCTGGAGGGCTCTCTAGAATCTTTCCGTCAGTCCACACATACCTTGAATACCTTTAATTTCACAAAAGAGAATTCGTTTCTAACATTCATCTGGCTAGTTAACAAGCCACTGGTTGTTTTGAGAATAATGTCTGATATTTGTTATGCTAGTTAGCAAAGTATCTGATAACAACTCAGGTATTATGACCTTCCAATCTGGAGCTGGCTAATGACCCCTAGGGTATACTCATTCCTGACTGGAACACAGGCTGCCCTGGTGTAACTTCAACTCACAGATGTCATACCCGTCTATGCTGAGTGTTTTAAAGTAAATTACAGGTCGGGTACAGTGGCTCATGCTTGTAATCCCAGCACTTTGGGAGGCTGAGGTGGGCAGATCACCTGAGGTCAGGAGTTCGAGAACAGCCTGACCAACATGGAGACACCCCATCTCTACTAAAAATACAAAATTAGCCAGACGTGGTGGCACATGCCTGTACTCTCAGCTACTTGGGAGGCTGAAGCAGGAGAATTGCTTGGACCCGGGAGGCAGAGGTTGCAGTGAGTTGAGATCGCACCATTGCACTCCAGCCTGGGCAACAAGAGCGAAAGTCTGTCTCAAATAAATAAATAAAAATAAATAAAATAAAATGCATAACATGAGGGAAGGATGAGAATAAGAAAGAATGAGAACAAGAACCTTCCTGGTAATCCTTGACTATGGCTGTATGTCTTGCCCGTATTCCTAAATGTTTCAACCACTGTCACTTGTCATTATATATTTTTAGATCCAGCCATCCATTTAATGATTATTCATGCCTACCTATGTCCCAGACATCCATTTGCAATATACTGTCTGTCTGATGATTCCAAGGAAAATTTAATATGCTAACAGAACGTTAAAAATACACTGGCTGAAGCCACTGAGTTTTTGCCAACATGAAACAGTCCCACCATGATATGAAAGTGTTTAGTCAGCCAGGTGTGGTGTCTTACGTGTCCCACCATGATATGAAAGCGTTAAATCCGCCAGGTGTGGTGTCTCAAGTGTCCCAGCACTTTGGGAGGCTGATGCAGGGGGTGGGGGGATCATGAGGTCAGGAGACTGATATCATCCTGGCCAACACAGTGAAACTCTACCTCTACTAAAATACAAAAAATGAGCCGGGCTAATGGTGGTGTGCGCCTGTAGTCCCAGCTACTCAGGAGGCTGAGGCAGGAAAATTGCCTAAACCTGGGAGGTAAAGATTGCAGTGAGCCGGGATCACGCCACTGTACTCCAGCCTGGTGGCAGAGCAAGACTCCATCTCAAAAAAAAAAAGTGTTAAATCACCCCCACTGCTGCACTTCAGCCTCAAGGAGGAAGCAGGCACTGGGGAAGTCTGTTTATAAACCTTAAAATATTGATCGCTTTTTTTTTCCTAGGAACAAAAAAGCTCTTAAAGGTTATATAAACATTTATATATGATTTCTTTAAGAAGCAATGATAATTACATAATTAGGCTACATTTACCTTAATTGTGAGTGAGTGCATCGTAAAAAAATCTCGAATAAGAATTCTTGACGTTGCTTGTTAGTCCAGAGGTCAAACCAATGACTTATAAGAGCCACTCTTTCCTGAAAGAGCTATAAGGGGGAGGGGAGGAAGTGACATTTTGCGGTACAGTTCAATATGTTTTTAATTGCCAAGCAATCTTTAGACAATGTACCAGCAATCTCACAGCTAACATTTGCAAAGTGCATTGCAGTTCACAAAGCGCTTTCACAGATAGAAAGTTCTCCCCTTTCAGGTTAAATTTTTAACCCGGGGATACTGACAGGCCCAGGCTTGTTGGGAGGGCTGGTGGGAAAGACTGGCAGTGACGTAATTGTAGAAGGGCCCAAGAAAGACCTCGGGAAAACAAAGAGGTGATGATTCCTGGATCTTGTTTCTACCTAGGCTAATGTGGCCTAGAGAAACAGAGTCCATACATTTCATCTTGAAAACATTGGCCAGGCACGGTGTGCTCACACCTGGAATCCCAGCACTTTGGGAGGCCCAGGTGGGCAGATCACCTGAGGTCAGGAGTTCAAGACCAGCCTGACCAACGTAGAGAAACCTCATCTTTACTAAAAATACAAAATCAGTTGGGCAGAGTGGCACATGCCTGTGATCCCAGCTACTTGGGAGCCTGAGGCAGGAGAATCACTTGAACCTGGGAGGTGGAGGTGGGGGTAAGCTGAGATCACACCATTGCACTCCAACCTGGGCAACAAGAGTGAAACTCTGTCTCAAAAAAAAAAAAAAAAAAAAAAAGAAAGAAAAAGGAAACATATACAGGCTACACTCATTTGATTGTGAAAACAGGACCATCTGAGGTAGGTATAACTTCACTAACCTACAACCCTGGATCTTCATAGTACCCACCAAGATGAAAGTTAGTTAAGTATTGCTAAATAGCCAACAGAGACAGGCTGTCTCTAGGGAAGAAATACATTAAGGACCAGAATCCTGCAAGCCTGGGTTTCGGTCCAGCTTTGCTCAGATAGAGATAACAAGTTCATTGTTATTTTCATAGGTCAGGCTTTAGTCGCAGCTGGGTCTAGTCTCCTTCTTCGGTAAACGAGGCTGAACTCACAAGAACACCCACGAGAGCTCTGAGCACCCAGTTCACCTTCTCTATTGCCACAGCCACCATAGGCCATTAAATGACAACTTCCTGAATTACCTTAAAATGGGAGTGGCATCCCCAGGCCACGTGGAACCATCCAATTGGCACAGGAAGTAGGAGGGATTATAGAAATGCGCAGGAACACAGGCATGAACGGTCCCAGCCTCCCCCACCAAAAGCACACCATTCCCATCTCCTACCCTGTCTATAGCAGCCATGTCTGGGAGGTCTCTATTTTATCCTGGAGGTACTGAGTGAAAACAGAGGCCATCTGGAACCTCCCTTAAGGTAGGAGATGAGGACTGGGGTGAGAAGAGATTGCCTTGGGGACAAAGCTAGGTTTCTTTTTGTTTAAACTGACTCAAATAAATTCTTAAGAGAGTTTTTCTTTTAAAAATATGGCAGCATGAGACCCAATATATCACAGTAAAATTAACCTTCCGAATTAAACTTGTTCTATTCTAAAATATGTAACTTACCTGTCTATTTAATGACTTGTTGTTAAAAGGTGTCCAGGCACTAAATCTCGTGTGGAAGCTCTCCATTTCTGGGGTTCTCCAGAAAGAACCCCCAGCTGACATCTCAGCAAATTTTCTTCCGCTTCTAGAAACTACAGGTTTATTTCAATAGGTGTGCAATTAAAATCACCTAGAAATATCCAATATGTTAATGTCCTTATAGGAATTACATAATTATAGAAATTCACATACAACATATATACAAAGAATTATAACAATTCGTGTGTATGTGTGTGTGTGTGTGTATATATATATATATATATATATATATATATACATATATAATAAACCATACAAATATACAAAAATCCCATGAACTTCAAATCATTGCAATTATTCTTTTCTTATGTACTTTCGCCCAGATCTGAAATCTCGCTTCTGTTGCTCAGACTGGAGTGCAGTGGCACAATCTTTGCTCACTGCAACCTCTCCTCCTGGGTTCAATCCATTCTCCTGCCTTAGCTTCCCAGGTAGCTGGGATTACAGGTGTGAACCACCATGCTTGGCTAATTTTTGTATTTTTAATAGAGATGAGATTTTGCCATGTTAGCCAGGCTGGTCTCGAACTCCTTGACCTCAAATGATTGCCCGCCCTGGCCTCTTAAAGTGCTGGGGTTACAGGCAAGAGCCACTGTGTCTTTCCAAAAGCAAGAATTTGAAATGCTGGAAGATGACATTCCACCTGCCCATCTTTTCAGGGCAGAGGTCAAAGAGGATATAAAGAAAAACAAAATAGGCTAATGTATTATTCATTGCTGCATAGCAAATTACTCCAAAAAATTTCAGCTTTAAACAACATACAATTATTTAAAGCTTCTGTGGTTCGAGAATCCAGGCACAGTTTAGGGGAGTACTGTCTTCGCCTAACAGGCCTGCCATAACAAACTGCCACAGACTGGGTGACTTGAACAGAAATGTATTTTCTCACAGTTCTAGAGGCTATAATTCCAAGATTAAGATGTCAGTAGTATCGGTTTGGGGAGGCTTCTCTCCTGGCCGCCTTCGCACTGTGTCCTCATGTGGCCTTTCTTCCTCGTGCATGCAGAGACAGGGATCTCTGGTGTTTCTTCTTTCTGCTTCTCCTTTTCCTTCTTTTGAGACAGTGTCTCACTTCTGTTGTTCAGGCTGGAGTGCAGTAAGGCAATCATAGCTTACTGAGCTGGGTGTGGTGGCTCACACCTGTGATCCCAGCACTTTGGAAGGCTGAGGTGGGTGGATGACTTGAGGCCAGGAGTTTGAGATCAGACTGGCCAACATGATGAAACCCCATCTCTATTAAAAATACAAAAATTAGGGCCAGGCACAGTGGCTCATGCCTGTAATCCCAGTACTTTGGGAGGTTGAGGCAGGTGGATCATCTGAGGTCAGGAGTTCGAGACCAGCCTGGCCAACCTGGTGAAACGCCGTCTCTACTAAAAATAAAAACATTAGCTGGGGATGGTGGCAGGCTCCTGTAATCCCAGCTACTCGGGAGGCTGAGGCAGGAGAATCACTTGAACCTGGGAGGCAGAGGTTACAGTGAGCTGAGATCATGCCCTTGCACTCCAGCCTGGGTGATGAAATGAGGCCCCATCTCAAAATAAATAAATAAAAAATAAATTATCTGGGCATAGTGGCACATGCCTGTAATTCCAGCTACTTGGGAGGCTGAGGCAGGAGAATCGCTTGAATAGGAAGTGGAGGTTGTAGTGAGCCATGATCATGCCACTGCACTCCAGCCCTGGGTGACAGTGAGACTCCATCTAAAAAAAAAATCATAGCTTGCTGTAACCTTAAACTTTTAGGCTCAAGGGTTCTTCCTGCCTCAGTTTCCCGAAACACTGGGATTACAGATGTGTGCTGCACCAGTCGGCCGGGCACAGTGGCTCACGCCTGTAATCCCAGCACTTTGGGAGGCTGAGGCAGGCGGATCACAAGGTCAAGAGATTGAGACCATTTTGACCAACATAGTAAAACCTGTCTCTACTAAAAATACAAAAATTAGCTAGGTGCAGCTACTCGAGAGGCTGAGGCAGGAGAATTGCTTGAACCGGGAGGCACAGGTTGCAGTGAGCCGAGATCGCACCACTGCACTCCAGCATGGTACCTGGCAACAGAGACTCTGTCTCAAAAAAAAAAAAAAAAAAAGGGACACCAGTCCTCTCAGATTAAAACCCATCACCTTATTTAACCTTTATTATTTCCTTATAGGCACTATCTGCAAATACAATAATATTAGAGGTTAAGGTTATAACATGAATTTGTGGGAAGAGGGGATACAATCCAGTTCATAACCAGTACCTCTGTGTCAAGGGCTCTGAGAAGGTTATAGTCAAGGTGTTTGCAGGGATCACAGTCTCACTGAAGGCCCTGCAGCTCATTTGTGGTTGTTGGCAGGATTTCATTCCTCATGTTCTGTTGGACTGAGGACGGCAGTGCTCACCAGCTGCTGGCTGGAGGCCTCCCTTGCCTTCTCTGCTACATGGCCCTCTCCATATGACAGCTCCCATGGCAGCAGGCTTCCATCACAGTGAGCAAATGAGAAAGCAAAAGAGGGCACAGCCGGGCGCGGTGGCTCAAGCCTGTAATCCCAGCACTTTGGGAGGCCGAGGCGGGTGGATCACGAGGTCAAGAAATCAAGACCATCCTGGTCAACATGGTGAAACCTCATCTCTACTAAAAATACAAAAAATTAGCTGGGCATGGTGGCTTGTACCTGTAATCCCAGCTACTCAGGAGGCTGAGGCAGGAGAATTGCCTGAACCCAGGAGGCGGAGGTTGCAGTGAGCCGAGATCGTGCCATTGCACTCCAGCCTGGGTAACAAGAGCAAAACTCCGTCTCAAAAAAAAAAAAAAAAAAAAAAAAAAAAAGAGGGCACAGCAGAGGGAAGCCACAGTCTCTTTGTAACCTAACCTCAGAAGTGACATTTCATCACTTTAGCTATATACTGTTGATTAAAAGCAAATCACCAGGTCCAGCCCACATTCAAGGGAAGAGGATTAGATGAAGCATGAATAGTAATAGAACCTATCATAGTTTACCATTTGGATCAGTTCCCTTCCTTTCCCATATGCAGAGCATACTCACACATTTTTAAGGAAAACAACCCCAAAGTTCCATCTCATCAATATTTTTAGCGCAGAGTTCCTGAGCAAAGAATGATTCACAAGAGTCTCTCTGTGGATACAGATATAGCTCCCTTTGATCCAAATATCTTTGAACTAAAAAAATAGGTTTTCTGGTCCTTGCCTCTGTCAACAATATAAATCACGGTAGAACAGGGACAGACAATTGCAATAGATAGTCCCATTCTTAAAGAAGGATGACATATTCAACGATTCATAACAATCCTGAAATGCAGCTACAGAAGGCTGGGGCCCAGTGATCATTTTGTCTCCAACAATCACATTCTCTTTTAGACCATGCCAGTGATTCCCTTGACGATGCCACTTCTCAAAATATATCCCAAATTACGTATTTAATTCTAAGCAGTGCTATGTGTCACAATTGTTTAGAGACATTTTTGGAGTGTCTCTCTCTAAAGATGGAAGCCTCTCTCCAAAGTTAACTACAGATATTTTGAGCCTATCAGGCTTCCTTAGAAAAAGCCAAACCCTAAGTCTCCCTTCCCTGAGATGTTTTTCCCGCTGAAAGTATTTGCTGGGCACCACCTCGTTTCATTCAGAGCTTCTAACGATGGTGTGACAACCATACTTTTGACTTGGTCCTTGCCAATAGGCAGAGTTTTCAGCATCGTTTCATGCTCAAAGGCCTTCTCAGTCTTTTCTTTACTAGTTGAAGATGTGAATCCGTTATTCCTCCCAATTGTGCAAATCCCTGAGTTTTGAGGCCCTCGCTAAATTCTTTTACATTCCTGATTGCAAACCAGTCAAATATTTTCTGAGCTCCTCTATTTCTTCTAGTACTTCGGCAAACGTGGCCTGTAGTAATAAACTCATTCTAACAACGTTCATTTTCTACCTCTTTGCAGAAAGTACAAGCTCATTAGGTATATGATATGCCCTTTAATATACTCCAGGCTATAGTTTTACAAATTTTTCCCCCTGCATAACATGGATTGCCATCTTTTCAGGTCTTCAACAATTTCATGCTGCCAGATGGGATGTTAATGCCACATAATTTAGAATGTGTTGCTGTTGTTAAGGCAACATCCTACTCCTAGAACCAACTTCTGTATCTACCAAACGTTCAAGGAAGAAATGGCACTACACTTACACAAAATCTTCAGAGAATAGAAAAAGAGGGAATGATTCCCAAGTTCACTGGGAATTTGGTATAACCAAATTCCATCCATCACATTGATGAAGTTGGTATAACCTTTATATAATCTTTTTTTTTTTTTTTTTTGAGATGGAGTTTCGCTCTTGTTACCCAGGCTGGAGTGCAATGGCGCGATCTCGGCTCACCGCAACCTCCGCCTCCTGGGTTCAGGCAATTCTCCTGCCTCAGCCTCCCTAGTAGCTGGGACTACAGGCGTGCGCCATCATGCCCAGCTAATTTTTGTATTTTTAGTAGAGACGGGGTTTCACCATGTTGACCAGGATGGTCTCGATCTCTTGACCTCGTGATCCACCCACCTCAGCCTCCCAAAGTGCTGGGATTACAGGCATGAGCCACCGCGCCCGGCCAACCTTTATATAATCTTATCACCAAAACTTAAGGACTTTACAGGAAAGAATTATTACAAATATATTACCATAAATGTGGATGCAAAAATCCTACCAAATATTAGAACACAAAACTCTGCAATATATATCAAAGATCATATATCACCCCCAGGTTGGATTTATGTAAATTTTGTTTGACATTACAAAATCAATGTACTTCTCATCATGAACAAAAGAAAAAAGAGAGAGAATTATATGATAATCTCAGTATATATAAGGAATTTTTGTTTGTTTGTTTAGCCAGGATCTTGCTCTGTTACGCAGGCTGGAGTACAGCAGCTGGATCTTAGCTCGTTGCAGCCTCAACCTCCTGGGTTCAAGCAAGCCTCCCATCTCAGCCTCAGCTGGGACCACAGGCGTACACCACTGTGCCTCAGCCTCCCAAAGTGCTGGGATTTCAGCTAAGAGCCTTGCAGCTGGCCCCAAAACTGTTTTTGATAAACCTCAATACCCCTTGATGAC